GGGAGAAGGAGCGCAGGGCAGAGGCAACTTCAGCCCTGTGTCTGGAGCCCTGCAGGTCTCTGGGCAGAGGGGGGCCCCGGCAGGATGAGCCAGCTACCACATTGGCAATAAGGCTCAGTGGCTATGAAAGAAAGGGGTGGGAAAATTCTTAGGGCAGGAGTCTAGCCTTCAGGTCTCTCAGTATTCCAAACCTCAGGATATAATAGAAGAAAACCTTTCACCCTAAGCCTGATTCTCAACTCCCAGCTGCTGCCCATCATCTCCCAGTTCCAGGAACACACCTCAGACTCAGATTGTAAGGACTGGATGGATGTAAAGAGGGCATTTTCAGGAAGTAGACCTCCTTGGGCAAGGCTAGCAGCTGCTCCGTCCCGCTGAACCTGCTCCTTGAGGAAGCCTAGGAAGGCTGTGCTCTCACGTGGTGGCTGCCAGCCAGGGTTGGTGATGGCGAAGTGCATGAGTGACAACTCTGTCTTCCCATCCTCAGCTTGCTGATACACGGAGGCTTCTGTCTGCCCACCAGACAGCCACTGCACAAGGGAGACCACAGTAAGCAGGGCTTTCCTCTTACAGGAACCCTCACCTGTACCTTTCCTATTAGGGAGAAGCCTTTACCCTGGAGGACAGAGACTGCAATGCATTATTACATCTTGTCCAAGGGCCCCAGTGTTACCCCAGGAGTGGCCACATGTCAGCCAGTTGCTTGTATTGTGCCTTTCTCAAGGAAGCTTGGCCAAAGGTACAAATTAAGCCTTAAATTCAGCCCAGGCTTCTAAGCAGTGTGTCTCTGATACAAGACTACCTTTTTATGACTTGTTGGCTCAGAAGGGATAACTTTTTGCAGATTACCCAAAGACACTGTGTGTGCCAGCATTATCCCTGGCCACATGCCCTGCTCTTCTACCAGTACCTGGGGATGACCATGCTGGCGAACATCCATTTGAGCAAAGGAGCAGGTATCTCCAACACCAACAACCTCCACGGTAAAATTGCGGAAGAAGTCAATAATCTCCAAGGCCCGGGGGCGCAGGCAGAATATGAGGATAAGTGGGGTGACAATGGGGCTCAGCAACTCCTCCAAGATGAACACCTAAAAGGGAGGGGACCAAGGCTACAAGAGAGTAGAAGGGAGGCCAGCCCTCACCTCCGGGCTACCAGCCAGTCTCTAGCAGGCCCTAACTCCAACTCCACTCACTGCCTTGTACTGGAAGAGCTGGGCAAACTCGTCCCGGGTCTGCGAGCGGTGGGCATTACCCTGCCAGTGGTCAGGCATGTAGTGGATGTGAGCGAGGATCACGCGGAGCAGCTGCTCAGGGCAGAACACCATGTGCTGGTCCGGGATAAAAGACCTAGTGGGATCAGTGTCATGGTGAGATGTAAGCTTTTCCCCAGATTGCTAGTCTGCTTGCTTCCACTTGCTGCTTTGGCCTACCTGCACACGGTCACGGTGACCCCCAGGAGTGTGACGGTGGTGAGGACGTGTTCCACAGCCAACACATCTTCATCGTAGATGGTGAGGGCAATAAGCACAGCCAGGATGGAGCCAGCAAAGAAGGCTCCATTCTTGGCCAGCAGTGTCAACAAAGGTGACAAGAAGCAATTCATGTACTTGGAAGCAGGCTTGTAGCCTCTACTTAGGCGGGACTGCAGCTCATGCTCCAGCTCATTGAAGTGGCGGAGATAACAGCGGCCATAAAGTGACCAGCAGCGTGCTCCCAGGGCCCCTGGCTCCCGTTTCAGCACCTCAGCATAGCTGAAAAAGGCATAGAGGATTTGCCAGATGAGGATGAGGGGGCATAGCAGGAAGTTAGCGATGCCGATCCACAAGATGCGGTTGCTGAGGCGCTGGGCCAGCTCTAGCCGTTGCCCTCCACGTTTGTACTCAGCCTTGAGGCTCCATTCATTGAGAAACAGAGAGCCAGGTCCCCAAAAGAGGATCAGCTCAAAGTTGTACTTGAGGCCACGGGTGAAGAAGACGGCCTCCCCAAGGCCAGGCAGGCGGAAGCGCAGAGGCAGGAGGGATTTGTTAACCAGTGCCACCATGTAGTTCTGGAAACGGAGGATGCGGTGGTAGATGTCCAGCTCTGTCAGCTCACGTTTGTGGATGCAGATCTGGTGCTCTTTTTGGGTCTGCACTATCCGGGCCTGCACTTCCTGCCATGTGCAATATGGAAGAGCAGACTGCAAGGTGGGGTGGGGAAAAGACAGGTATGGAAAGTAGGGTTATTGCCTCGGCCCCTTGCCCTGCATGAGATTTGAGGCTCAGGGTCATGTACTGAGCTGAGTGGAGTCTTTAAACAGATGCTTCAATGACAGGTAAGGACCCCTGATGCCCAAGAATGAAACTATCCCTCCTATGATATCTTGGGCTGTGGGCTAACTGCTCAACTTTCAATCTTACCATGGGGATGCGCAGAGCATGAAGGTAGAAAGAATGGATTTCCCAGTAGCAGCAAATGTTATAAATGAACTTGATAAGCCGATGAATCCAAAAGACACCAGCAATGACCAGGATGGTGATAAGGGAACCATTTTCCTGAATCCTGGTGGAGAAAAAGGGAGGAGTAGGGTGGCCCTTGAGGAAATTGTCTTGGCAGACATGCTACTGTTCTGAAGGCCACTAAGCTGAGCCTGAGTCTGTGTTCTTGGGCATAAGTCTTTGCCTCATTCTCTACTCTAGTCCCCACCTCCTAACACAATGGTTCTCAACCTTCCTAATGCCATGGCCCTTTAATACAGTTCCTGTGGGTTGTGACCCACAGGGTGAGAACTGCTGTCCTAACAGAGCTATAAGGTCTACTATCCTCTGACTTGTAGCCCTTACCTGGCACTACAGACTTGGGCAGGCAGAAAGGCATCTGGCAGAGTGACCTTGATGGGTTCAGTAGGGTGAAGACTGTGGTTCACCATCTTGTTGGCAAATAGGATGTCATAGTCCACACAGCTGACCAGGAAAGTGGTGAAGGCAACCACAAAGAGGAACTGCCTAGGGATTTGGGAAGAGGGGTGCAATCTGAGAGTCAGAGAGGCACCAGTGAAATAAAGTAGGAAAAGAGAACAGTCTGGATGTGGCAAAGCAAGACTGTGGAAATGGAAGGGGCTGGAGAACTCCCAGTGGGCTCTTTCTCTACCCCTAGGACCTTCTCAGGAGTGAATCAGCTCCTATGGTTTGCTCTTAGTCTCAGTGTCATGGAATTAGCCTGCTTTTCTCACCCCATAGTAATCTCTGCCACCACTGGATGCTTTCAAAGTTTTTAACATTGTGGTCTCTCCTCTCTAGTCCCTGATTTCGTTCTGAGACAGTAGTTAGAAGACCTTTAGGAACTTGAATTCTTTCTTTTCTTTCTTTTTTTGAGACAAAAGTCTTCCTCTGTTGCTCAGGTTAGAGTGTAGTGGTCATCATAGCTCACTGCAACCTCAAACTCCTGGGCTCAAGTGATCATCTTGCCTTAGACTCCTGAGGACTTGGAACTACAGACATCCACCACTGCACACAGCTAATTTTTCTTTTTTTGAGACAGAGTCTCACTTTGTCACTCTAGATAGAGTGCTGTGGCTTCACAGCTCACAGCAACCTCAAATTCTTGGGCTTAAGCAATGCTCTTGCCTCACCCTCCCAAGGACCTGGGACTACAGGTGCCCACCACAATGCCTGGCTATTTTTAGAGATGTGGTCTCACTCTGGCTCAGGTTGGTCTCTAACCTGTGAACTCAGGGCAATCCACCCGCCTTGGCCTATTGGAGTGCTAGGATTAAATATTTCTATTTTCAGTAGAGACAGGGTCTTACTCTTTCTCAGGTTGATTTCAAACTCCTCTGCTTAAGCAGTCCTCCTGCCTTGGCCTCCCAGAGTGCTGAGATTACAGGCATGAGATATGACACCTTGCTGGCCTTGAACTATTTTCCTATTGAGGGAGGACTTCTCAACTCTTTCCCCTTTGGTAAGTCCCATATGACTCCTCTCTCCTAGAAGGTCTCTGTCCAGCAGCAGATCAAAGATGCAGCCAAGGCAAAACACAGAGTTTTTTCAGGAAAGTGGCTACTATGGAGGCTGAGGAGGGTAGATTGCTTGAGCTTACAGGTTCGAGACCAGCCTTAGCCAGAGAGACTCCATCTCTACTAAAAATACAAAAAACTGAGCCAAGAGGATACCTGGAGCCCAAGAGTTGATGGTTACTGTGAGCTATGACACTACAACACTACCAAGGGTGACAAAGTAAGACTCTGTCTCAAAAAAAAAAAAAAAGAAAGAAAGAAAGTGGCTGGCATCTCTAAGACCTCCTGACTGAATCCTGCACATTCCACTAGAGCGCTGATGAAATGATCAAGGTCTGAATTCTCTTTGTGGAAGAGATAGGACTTGGAAAGCTTTTTTTTGGTAGTGTTGTAGTGTTATAGCTCACAGCAACTTCAAACTTTTGGGATCAAGTGATTCTCTTGCCTCAGCCTCCCAACAGCTGGGACTATAGGTTCCCACCACAACAACTAGCTTATTTTTAGAGACAGAGTCTCATTCTGGCTCAGGCTGGTCTGGAGCCTGTGAGCTCAGGATAATCCACCTGCCTCAGCCTCCCAAAGTGCTAGGATTACAGGCATGAGCTATTGCTCCCAGCCAGTGCTTTTTTTTTTTTAAGAGACAGAGTCTCACTTTGTTGCCCTCAGGCGAGTGCTGTGGCATCATAGCTCACAGCAACCTCCTGCTCTTGGGCTTAGACGATTCTCTTGCCTCACCCTCCCAAGTAGCTAGGACTACAGGCACCCACCAGAATACCTGGCTATTATTTTTTGTTGCAGTTTGGCCAGGGCTGGGTTGAAACCTGCCATCCTCGGTATATGGGGCCAGCGCCCTACTCACTGAGCTACAGGCACCGCCCAAGCTTTTTTTTCTTTGAGACAAGAGTCTCACTCTGTTGCCTTGTGTAGAGTACCTTGGCATCATAGCTCAAAGCAACCTCAAACTCTTAGGCTTGAGCAATCCTCTTGTCTAAGCCTTCTGAGTAGTTGAGACTATAGGTGTGTGCCACTACACCTGGTTAATTTTTCTATTTTTAGTAGAGATGCTGTCTTCCTCTTGCTCAGGCTGGTCTTGAACTTGGGAGCTCAAGCAATCCACCTACCCTGGCCTCCTAGAGTGCTACAATTATAGATGTGAGCTGTCACACGTGGCCAGGAAAGCTTTTCTCATAAGAAAGGTGAAGCTGTAAGTTTAGTTGCCACACACAGTGCCTGAACTATAATAGTTTGTAGAATTTTAAGCCTGGGACTGAACTGAGTTGGCAGGTAGGGCCAGGGGTGAGTACTAGGAGAGGAAATACTAAAATGTATCCTTCTCTACATTATCTGTTCCTTCTTATACTTACATGAGCTCAAAGATCTCCCCAATGAGCATACATGTGAAGCCATTCTTTTGGTGTAGGTTATAAACGTGTAATTGTTAAGAAAAAGTGGTCAATAAAGACAGCGTAACATAGACTTTGGTGTCATACACATGAGCTTAAGACCTAGCATTGTGGCTTTCTAGCTGTGTGACTTTGGCCAAGTTTTTTATTTTTTTTGAGACAGAGTCTCACTGTGTCGCTCTCAGTAGAGTGCTATGGCATCACAGCTCACAGCAACCTCAAACTCTTGAGCTAAAGTGATTCTCTTGCCTCAGCCTCCCAAGTAGCTGTGACTACAGCGCCTGCCACAAAGCCCAGCTATTGTTTTGTTGCAGTTGTCATTGTTGTTTAGTTGGCTGGGCCAGGTTCGAACCGCCAGCCTAGGTGCATGTGGCTGGCACACTCCACCCACTGAGCTATGGGCGCCCCACCCCCACCCCCGCCAAGTTTTTTAACATCTATAAGCTTTGTCAACAGCAGTAAATTAAGAATCATAACACCTGTCTCAGTTCTGTGTTAAATACATTTGAAAAAATATATTTCAGAATGAGGTAAAACATATTACAATTATTAACATCTCATCAGAAAGGAGGATCACTCTCCTTGTAAATTAACACCACAAAGTACATTTAGATATGAAGCTCTCAAGTAAATGTGGGTTATCATTATTTTTAATGATCATTATTTCACCAGCCTCTTTCAGCCTCAAGATGAGCTCCATTGCCCGTTCTGGGGATTAGAGTCAAACTTACCCCAACTTCCCATTAGAGACCTGGCTTAGAAAGGAGCTAAAGATCTCAGAGCTCCAACACAGAGACACAAAGGATATTCGAGAGAAGAAGAGGTCAAGGTTTTCAATGTGGTGCCAAGGTGCTGTGGGCACAGGAACAGATATGTAAGAACCCTAAAGGGACACAAGCCCCTTGCTCCCTCAAAGTTTCTCCACCAACTCTCCCTCATGTCCCAGCTCTGGCTGTCTTGTCTAAGAACTCACACTTGCTCCCCTCAGCCACATGCACCAACAGGTCTTCCTCCCCTGGGGGTGAATCACTGTAGGAAGCCTCTAGGCGCTGGTATTCAGTGTCAAACTGTGCCATCACCACGGCCCCCTGTCCACCTTGTCCACCTGCCAGTGATGAGGAAAAAGAGACCTTGGTTCAGAATCAGATGCTGCCTGCTTGCTGCCCTGCCTACTAAGCCAGAAGGAGTAAGAAAGAATCCTTGGGCTTAGTCTCCACTACCATTCTCTTTAGCTTAAAGGCAGAGGAGAAGTAACCTGTAGAGTGCAGCCAGTTCAGGATTTGGGAGACCTCAACTCTGGTTTGTCTTTTCCAGAGCCTGGACTGGGTGTTTACTGATGCTTTCCTGGCCTGAAGCCAGAATCTGCCCCAAAGCCAGAATGCCCCTGGGTTGGAGCGGTTTCATATTCTACTCAATGGAGAGAGGGGTCCCTCCCTGTCCCTTCTGGGACAACTGTGGAATCCCAAGAGATTAGCAGTTTGGAAGCACTTTGTAAACAAAGGTTTTAGATAAACACAGGACCCTACCAGCTCCATGGACAGTGTCTGCTCCACTCCAGCCCTCGATGCCCTGGCTCTGCAGCTGCTGGAGGAGAAGGTGTCAGGCCCCAGAGAGTGCAGAGTGGGAGCAGAAAGGACGCACCCCCACATCCACACACCCCACTAAGAGGAGGCCAAGCTTGGGGCAATAGGAAGAGACACCCTGCCACCCTAGGACTATGAGTACTTCCTCTGGCTGTTCTATCCAGGGCCACTCATCCAACTCTATGATCCCAAGAAGTAACTAGTAACACTGCCCCAATGGAGACTAAAGACTAAATCTGTACCAGCCTGAAGCCAGGCACCCTCTCTAGATTGTTTCTCTACTGCCCCACCTCAGCCTCATAAATTAGGCATGCTTTGCAGGGTCCACAAAAATCCCACAGTCTTTCCTGAATAGGACCTTTCTGATCAACCCTTTCTCCTGCTTTCCTAGCACCAAAGACCCAGCACATGGGCAAAGTTCCTGGATAGGAAATCCTGAATAGGACAGTGTAGATCCCAGATTCTGGATAAATGTGTGGGTCCCTGTAACTCCCTGGAGCCAGGCATGGTCGATAGATAGTACTCACCTGTCAGTGCAGACCCTGGGAGCCGTGGATTTCAGCCCAGCCTGGCCCTGGTGGGATTCCCTTGGTTAGTGAGAGCCCTCCCTCTCAGAGAAGTCACCACTCATCGGGTCAGTGTGGACCCTGGGCCCATGGAGCCCTGGGTGGCCAGGCCTGGCCGCAGGGACTCCTGCGGATGTTTGAGGGTTCAAGCCAGTGCTACAGCTGATACTCTGGGTGGGCTGGGTTGCCTTCCTACACCCAGCCGCCGAGACTCGAGCCCAGCGTGCCCTAGGGTTGCCCTGCCCCAGGCCAAGGGCTCAGCTCCCAACAGCGGACAACCGAGCGCGTCCCCATAACTCTCGCGCGCTCCCGCCCGCGCGTGCCCGCTATCAAAACATTCTGGTTGCGCGCCCCCGCCCCACCCGCGGCGTTCCTTCCCCCGTTACCGGCCGCGAGCTCCCTTAGAGCTCCTCAGGCACTCCTGGCCAAGCCCGACCCGGGCCCAGAGATTCCAATGGCCGGTCTCGCGTTTCACCTCAGGAACAGCAACCCGTGTGATTCCAGGAGCTCTGTCGGCTTGTCTTGGATGGCCCGGCCCGGAGTGCTAGGCCCGTCGTCTGCCACTCACTGTCACCCGCAGTCAGTCTGGCCAATGAACGTGGGGGGTGGAGACACGACGGCCAATTCCTGGCTTCGGGGAGGGACTAAAGGCTTGAGGCGGGTCTTGGGCAGTCAGAGGACCAATAGGGCGCTCTACGTGGGGCGGGGCTCAGGTGCAGGCGCTGCCGGTTGTCCTCTTTGCTGCTCCGTAGTGACGGGGATTGTTGTGGTGTTGCAGAAATCCGGCCTTGGAACTGAAGACGTGCGTGCAGCTCGGTTCTTGGGACGTTTGGTTCAGCTTCTGAGGGCGGGGGCGAGTTGACGCGGTTCAGCCTTTGCTTGTCGCTTGGGTAACGAAGAGGAGACGATTAGGCAATCTCAGTGATTTAAATTCTGTTGATCTCGATTTGGGACTCGGACGTCCCCCAAGTCAGCCTAGACTGGGCCTAGAGAAAGTGGACTGGGTCAGGTATTTATCCCACAGCTGACTCTTGACCGCAAGTTGAGAGCCGAGGTGCCCTGCGGCATGGTGGAGACCAACTCTAGCGGACAGGAAACGCAGCTGTAGCATCTTGCTTTGGGGAGCTCTGTTTCTTAAACCCTTCTGCTTCAGGAGCTGCTTTTAAGTAACTTCTGCTCAGCCATGTCTCCAGCTCCAGCTCTTTCGTCGGTCTCTCTGTTTGACCTCAGTGCGGATGCTCCAGTCTTTCGGGGCCTGAGTCTGGTGAGCCCTGCGCCTGAGGAGGCTTTTGCCCGGGCTCTGCGTACTTCCTGTCCAGGTACCCGGGAAGATTGGGGCTGGAGCCATGGGCAACGTTACAAAGCTCTTAGGAGCTTATTGCTCCTCCAGTTTAGAAGCTCGCGTTGACTAATCTTTATGTTGGATAAAATCTGTTTTAAATACGCTTAATTTCTGGGTAGCTCCCAGCAAAGCCCCTCAGTTGTTTCCAAACAAGTCTTTAACTTCCTCATGTTGACACCACTGCCTTCAAAAACACTTAAGGGCGGCTCCTGTGGCTCAATGGGTAGAGTGCCGGCCCCATATACCGAAGGTGGAGGGTTCGAACCTGGCCTCGGCCAAACTGCAACAAAAAAATAGCTGGGCATTGTGGCAGGCTCCTGTAGTCCCAGCTACTCAGGAGGCTGAGGCAAGAGAATCGCCTAAGCCCAGGAGTCAGAGGTTGCTGTGAGCTGTGACGGTGTGGTACTCTACCGAGGGCAATAAAGTGAGACTCTGTCTCTGAAAAAACAAACAAAGAAAAAAACACTTCAGAATTCCTAGGTACATTTTCAGAATTCCTAGATGTAGTCTAAATTTAACTGGATTCCCATCAAATCATTCCTTTTTGTTGAATATAAAGAAGTTTATTATTGGTGTTTGGTTTTGGCTATGTGTTGGTGTTTGGCTTTGGCTATGTGTTTTCTTGCACTTCTCTTCAGACAAACAGCACACTGTTATTGGAAATGTAAACTGAAAAAAATGTGTCTGGAAAGTAGTTTTGTAGAGTTAATTTTTTTTTTTTTTTTTTTGAGACAGAGTCTCAAGCTGTCACCCACCCTGGGTAGAGTGCTGTGAGCATTATAGTTTACAGCAACCTCAAACTCTTGGGCTTAAGTGATCCTCTTGCCTCAGCCTCCTGAGTAGCTGGGATTACAGGCACCTGCCACAATGCCCAGCTATTTTTTTGAAATGGGGTCTCAGGCTCAGGCTGGTCTAGAATTGTGAGCTCAGGGCAATCCACTCGCCTTGGCCTCCCAGAGTCCTAGGCTTACAGGAGTGAACCACCACTCCCAGCTCTAGAGTTAAATATTTTAAATTTACCAAATATTATTTTCTATAGGATTCTGCTAAACAAGCTCTTTGGTTAAATACAATATTTATATTCATTTTACATATATCTTTTCAGGAGCATTTTTACTGCATAAAGTGATTGCTATATCATTTATTTTGTGATTATTAGATTGTAAATTCTTTGAAGGAAAGGTTATGCCATCTCTTTTGTATCCTCCTCTGCCTTGCATATCAGACACTGATTATAATTCCAGGCACTATGAATTTAGGTTCCCTTTCTATTTCCAATTACTCTTTCCTTATTTACGTTCAGGGGAGAGGGAAAGCCCAGAAAGAAAACTACTAAAAGGTCATGTGGATATTTCAGAGAAGTTATTTTGTTCATCCTGTGACCAGATCTTCCAGAACCACCAGGAACAGGTAAAAAGCTAGGGTACAGAGGTAGATGTTAGAAACAAAAGTGTAATGATCAGTGGGGAGAGATAGGCATTTAAAGTCTTAAATTAATAAAGGTCCATGCTTTGACTGATGCAGTTAGTGTTATGTGGTCATACTTCTTGGATTTCTATTATTTGTCTTGGTTAGTATGCAAGGGCAGAATGGGGCATATATCCACCTTCTGCTTCCTTTTTTCTCTTTGTACCAGAGGGAACATTATAAGCTTGACTGGCATCGGTTTAACCTAAAGCAACGTCTCAAGGACAAGCCTCTTTTGTCTGCCCTGGATTTTGAAAAGCAGAGCTCCACAGGTGATAACTGATGGGAGGACATGGGGGCAGAAGGCCCTACCTAGTTTAGTAGTTTGAAGAAAGATCAAAGATGTGTATCTCCTTTTGCCTTCAGGTGATCTTTCCAGCATCTCAGGTTCAGAAGACTCAGACTCGGCCAGTGAAGAGGACTTGCAGACACTGGATGAGGAAAGGCCTGAATTTGAGAAGCCTTACCGATCCCAAGGCTTCTACCCTCATCAGGTTCTTTTCCAAAATGCCCAGGGCCAGTTTCTTTACGTCTACCGTTGTGTCCTAGGCCCTCACCAGGCAAGTGATGGTACAGAATGTGTGGTCAACCCTAGCCTTTTGTACAATCTAAGAGGAAGCTTAGATTTCCTCTTAGTCCAGTCCATTTCTCACTACTTTCTTTTCTTCCTGTTGAGTATGGGTATCATACTTGACAATAGTCTTAGATTGAAACTGGCCTGTATCTTGGAAATAAAGTGTAATAGAATTAAATTTAGAAATAGATCAATCTCAGTTTGAATTGTGGTTCTATCACTTCATCTTGACAACCTCACCAAGCCCCAAATTTCTTTTATTTACCAGATGGAAACAAGTCTCAGGTTGTTGTGTTAAATGTGTTAATGTAGATGAAGCACTTAGCACTAACAATTGGTTTCTTGTTCTTATTGAATGCAACTGATAGAATGTTTCTGCTGCTTCTCTGTCATCCAGGTTCCCCTGCAAGAGGCAGAACTGCTGCTACAGAACCTACAAAGTGGAGGTCCCAGATACTGCGTAGTGCTCATGGCTGCAGCCGGGCACTTCGCTGGTGCAGTATTTCAAGGGTAAGAGGGTGCTGTATGGGGTAAGGATGCAGTGGAACCTATTAGCCTGGGAGCACCAGCTGATCTCCATTACTGAGTCTGTGCTTTCTACAGAAGAGAAGTGGTGATACACAAAACCTTTCACCGCTATACAGTGCGGGCCAAGAGGGGCACAGCGCAGGGACTTCGAGATGCTCGAGGTGGGGTGCCACATTCTGCTGGAGCAAATCTGAGGCGCTACAATGAGGTCACACTATATAAGGTGAGTTAGGCTTCCCAGATCTGGTGGTCCTATAATCCACACTTTTTTGCTTCTCAGTTCAACTCATTAAATACTACAAGTAGGACTCCTATACCTTCCAATTTTTGTTATTTCTGGATAGACTCAAGTAGAATAGGGATCCCAGGAGTCTTAGTCCTCTTTCTTTCTCCCTTTATGTTACCTTCTACCTCCCACTCCTTGTACATGATCTGTAGGCCTCTTTTTGGTTGGAAATTTAAAAATAGCAAGTGATGCAGGACTGAGGTACTCTCTCTTGTAGGATGTTCGTGATCTATTGGCAGGGCCAGACTGGGCTAAGGCGCTGGCGGATGCTGGGACAATACTGCTGCGTGCTCCCCGCTCTGGTCGGTCCTTGTTCTTTGGAGGCCATGGGGCACCTCTGAAAAAGGGGGATCCCCGACTTTGGGATATCCCCATTGTCACCCGCAGACCCACCTTCCAAGAGCTACAGCGTGTGCTCCAAAAGCTGACAACCTTGCATATTCATGGTAAGCCTTTGAACCAGATCCTCAGATTCTTTAGACCTCCCTATACTCTCCAGCATAAGCTTCAGTTTTCATTTGTATACTCAGAGGGTTTTTCAGCTTTTGGACTGCTGCCCAATTACATGTTCATTGCTAGAAACCTGGGCTGGCTTCTCCTTAGCTATGTTTGAGAAATATCTTTTTTTTTTTTTTTGAGTTGGAGCCTCAAGCTATCCCCCTGGGTAGAGTGCCATGGCATCACAGCTCACAGCAACCTCCAACTCCTGGGCTCAAGCGAGTCTCCTGTCTTATCCTCCCAGGTAGCTGGGACTACAGGCGCCCGCCACAACACCTGGCCATTTTTTGGTTGCAGCCATCATTGTTGTTTGGCGGGCCTGGGCTGGGGATTCGAACCCGCCACCTTAGGTGTATGTGGCTGGCGCCTTAGCCGCTTGAGCCACAGGTGCCGAGCTGAAATATCTTTCGTTTTATGGCAGGAGAAGACCCTCGAGAAGCAGTCAGGTTGCACTCACCTCAGAAACACTGGAAGACAGTGACAGAGGAGAGGAAGAAAACTACTAAGGGAGAAAGAAGAAAGCCCCCCACTGATGAAAATGAGACACATGGACAGAATGAAGAATCTCAGAAACATGGTTTGAGTACCATCTGGCAACTGTCAAATGTATTTGGGTTTCTGTCCTAGAATTGCAGTGGCAAATTCCCTACTCTTATAACCGACCTATTTCCCTATTTATAGATGTCCTTTTTTTTTTTTTAATTTGAGACAGAGTCTCATTTTGTTGCCCTTGGTAGAGTACCATGGCATCATAGCTTAAAGCAACCTCAAACTCTTGGGCTTAAGCGATTTTCTTGCCTCAGCCTCCCAAGTAGCTGGAACTATAGGCACCTGCCACAACACCCAGCTATTTTTTTTTTTTCTTTAAGAGACGAGGTCTTGCTCTGGCTGGTCTTGAACTTCCAAGCTCAGGAAATCCACCCACCTCATCCTCCTAGAATACTAGGATTATAGGCATGAGACACTGAGCCCAGTCTATAGATGTGTCCTTATATTACACTCACACACAGTGTCTATTTAGAAAATGGGGGTATTATAACAATTTCTGAGACATTGTTTAGTGATCTTTCCAGACCTCCTATTATCTCTTTTGCTCACGAATGTTTCCTCAGTACTTAGAAGAATCCTAACATGGTGTAGATCCATGTGTTTCAGGGATCTCTCATAGTTTATCTTTTATCGGATGCTGTGGCTTTGAGCTAAGGGCTACTTCATGCTTTTCTCTTTTGTGTATCATTCTAAGCCTACTTGCTCATATGCGTAGTCCAGGGACTTGTGCCTCTGTGTATCTCCTTCTTAGCCTGTCCTTGTCTGTGCTGAGAGCCTCATTTCTGCATGTGATAGAATGGACTTAGCTGTTGATGTGCTACTTTAACTGGGTGGCAAAATAAAAGCACTTAATTTAATTTTAGGATGATCTAGATTATCTCTTTATAGACAATTATTAGGCATCAGAGGTAGCCCAAATACTTCCACCCTCTACTTATTCCTTCAGTAGATTTCACAACAGATTTTTTTCCTAGGTTCGGAGTCAGAGGGAGAGGATTCTTTCCAGGTAGAGTTGGAGGTAGTAGAGTTGACTCTGGGGACCCTGGATCTTCGTGAGTTTGAGGTGTTGCCCAAGAGAAAGAGGAAAAGAAGGAATAAGAAGCAGAGAAGTCAAGACCAGGAGGCTGGGGTGAATATGACTCTTGCCCAGCAATTGGAAGAAGATGGGCCTTTCTCACAGTCAGCTCAGACAGCTGTAGCCCCCTTGGGCCCTTCACTGGATGACTCCAAGGCACCTGGTCAGCCAGAGCCCTGGGATGTGCTTCTAGCGGCTTGCCGAGCTGGCGATATTGGAATACTGAAGCTTCAACTAGCTGCTGGCCCTGTAGACTCTGGAGTTATGTCTCTGCTCAGTGCCCCATTGGGTGCTGGTGGCTTTACTCTCCTGCATGCAGCAGCTGCAGCTGGAAGAGGCCCAGTGGTTCGTCTGCTACTCGAGGCAGGTGCTGACCCCACTGTGCAGTAAGTAAGGGCATTTTGGGTTTAGAGAGGATAATTTGGAGGATGAAGTTGATATTAGCTACTTGACAGTACTCTGTTGGTCTGGTTGGGTGACATTCAGGCAACCTGAACCCATTTTGGGGGGTTTTGCACCCAGGGATTCCCGGGCCCGGCCACCTTATACTGTTGCAGCTGACAAATCAACACGTAATGAATTCCGAAGATACATGGAGAAGAATCCAGATGCCTATGATTATAACAAAGCTCAGGTCAGCTGGAAAAGGAAGCAGAGTGGGAAAGCATTGTAGATCCTGGCTGGATCCTTACTATTTCCTGGTAGTTTTATCAAGGATAGCTTGTGTAGTAATGTATCTTCCAAAAATCCTCCAGGTGCCAGGGCCACTGACACTAGAAATGGAGGCACGGCAGGCTACGCGGAAAAGGGAGCAGAAGGCCGCCCGGCGGCGACGTGAGGAACAGCTGCAAGAGCAGCGAGAGCGAGAGGAGCGCGAGCGAGAAGAAAAGCAGCGATTTGCGGCCCTCAGCGACCGAGAAAAGGTGAGGCTGGAGGTTTTCTCTTCTTTAGCAATGCTTCCTTAGAGGTTACTCCCTTCCCCAGTGTGTGGCTACCACTTCTTGGGTACCCTGTTTACCACTGGGGCCTCATCCTTAATACAACTTCTTTTTCCCTCAGAGAGCTCTGGCTGCAGAGAACCGACTCGCTGCCCAGTTGGGAGCCTCTTCCCCTCCAGTCCCTGACTCGACAGTTCTCAATGCTCGGTATGGGCTGGGGGTGAGTGAGTAGGTGGACTACAGTGTTGTAGGGGCCATTTTGAGCAAGTATAATAAGTACCTACATAGTGTTCAGAAAGGTCATTGAGAGGATTTGAGATGTTCTGGGAACATTTGTAAAACCAGAAATGTCTGGAGGAGAGCTTGGATTGGGATGTTTCTGGGGTACCTGTCCAGCTATTTTTCTTTCTATTGTTCAGACGCTGCTGGAGTTGTGGGGCATCCCTCCAAGGCCTCATTCCTTTTCACTACCTCGACTTCTCTTTCTGCTCCACACGTTGCCTTCAGGATCATCGCCGGGCAGGAAGGCCCTCGTCCTGATCTCTTACAGCTTCACCTGGCGCCAACTCTAGGCTCTGAGAGGGCATATTTACACCAACCCTAGGTTTCTTCTTTCCCATGAAACCAGGGAGTATTAGGGTGCAGGACACTCAGGAACCAGGGGAAAAGACAGGGCCACAGAGGTGTGTGGAGCTGGTACTATCTCTGGAACTTTAATCACAATAAACTTTGGCAAGGAATCTGTACTCATACTTATTCAGAGGCATTCAGGTCATTGGTTCCTTATGGTCACCATGGCCAGCACCAAGGGATCCTGCCCACTCCAAGAGTTACCTTTCTTTTAGTGCCCACTTAACTCCATTGGTTCAGAGATACTTGGTGTATCCGCTGAGAGGTAATAGACATATGTCTTATGCAAGGTGCTATTGAGTATAGGCTTATCCAAAAATAGGATTTGGGGCTGCGGAGGCACATTTTCTAGCTCTAGCAATGTGAGTTTGTTGAGGCCTCCCCTAGGAAACAGCAGGGGTCTTGGCACGTAGAGGGTCTGTTGTGGCCCCCGCTTTGTCCAGTACCGGCCCAAGTTAAACCCATTGATCCAGACTTGGCCCTGAGGGGTGAGAGGGGAGAGCAGAAAAAGAAAGAATCAGCTTTCTAGGGGAGTAAAATTATCCCCTTTTGAATTTCTAATCAGAGGATACTTTCTGCTTCCCCTCTCCACTGCCACTACCCCCAGCCCCAGCTACCACAATTAGCAATACCTTGGTCCATCCAGGTAGATATAGAAATGTGTCCCCAACAGGACCTAAAACCGGAAACTTTGTAGAGTAGAAGGTGGGGCCAGAAGGAGTTTGAGGTGGTGAACTTTTTGGCAACTGGAGGGGAAACCACCACTTTACAAGGTTATCAATTTTCAGAGGGAACATCATCCACCTGGTAAGGATAGTTTGCCCTAGAATAGGTGGTTCTAATAGGCCCTGTAGAGAAGGGAAATGAAAAGGCATCACTCACTAAGCTCTATGGCCAAACTATATCTAAGCCCTGGGATGCAACTAGGCAAAGTTAGCTCACCTTGAAGTCACTGCTGTTAGACCCAAAACTGAGCCTACCCATGTTCTCCAGCAAGATATCCAGTCTGGCCCCTAGATTCCCCATCAAAAATACTTTATGTCTCATATTTCGTTCCAAAACACCCTGGAACACCTGTGGATAAGTGATAGGATTTATGGTCCAGGTGTGCTGGCTCACAACTATAATCCTAGTACTCTGAGAGGCCAAGATGGGAGGATCCCTTCAGCTCAGGAGTCTGAAACCACCCTGAGCAAGGGTAAGACCCTGTCTCTACCAAAAATAGGAAAATTGGGCATTGCAGTGGGTGCCTGTAGTCTCAGCTATTTGGGAGGCTGAGACAGGAGGATCACTTGAACCAAGGAGTTTTGAGGTTGCTGTGATCTAGGCTGATGCTATAGCACACTAGCCTGGGCAATGGGTACAGGCTCTGTCTAAATCAATCAATCAATCAATAAAATAATAAAACAGTGAATTCATTTAAAAAAGAAGAAATGGGATCTATGAAAAGAAGGGTTCAACATGAGCTCTGAGTGGCGAAGGCATGGGAATCCAAATTAGGATACTTATTTGGTGGGCAAATAAAATGTAACTCATTGGTTAGCCATCCTTTCTAGAACTCTATCCTTAATCAAACTCTACCCCATCCCAGCTTATCCCTGGACACTCTGCATATGTGAGCAGGCAGTTGGGAAAGAGTAAATATGGGAAACTTTAAGACTAAGGGGTGGTGGGGAAAGGAGGAAATTGGGGCTCACAGCCGGGAATTAGATTCTCACCCCATCCACCATCACATAGGCACGGTCATGGACTCCATTATTTGGCACCCAGAGTGGAGTTGGTTCAAAAACGCTATGGGTCAAATAGGTCCGATACAACATAAAGCCATGGTCCTGGGTGTGGAAGAATGAGTACTTAAGATGAATTGAGAGATAAGCAAGAACACTGGAGAAGATAGAAAGCTGGGAGTTTGCCTTCCCAATCAGATGTGGGTTTATGCCTTACCTGTTTGACAGCCTCAAAGGTCATTGGCAAGATTGAACTGATGGGCCCTTGGGGGCATAGAAAGTCTAGGAAAGTCAGCAAATCCCCATCCTATTAGAATAGGGGGGAAGAATCAGAATGAGAGGAAGATTTCTGGATAGAGGATAGGAGAGGACAGACTACTTGAAAAATAAAGGGTTACTCTGAGAAAAGATGGAGAGGAACTTACCAACTGTAGAGTCAAAGGTCCAAGATTCATCTTGGGGCTGGGGGGAGGTAAAGGTCCCAAGGGAACTTCCTGGAACTGAGCCCAAATTCTCTCAGGAGCCATAGGAAAACCAGAGAAACAACACCTATTCCAAGACCCTAGAGCAGGTTCTTAACCTGGGCCCCAGGGACGGGCCTAAGGGGTCATGAAGACCTGTAATTTTATACAACACCTATTCCAAGACCCTAGAGCAGGTTCTTAACCTGGGCCCCAGGGACGGGCCTAAGGGGTCATGAAGACCTGTAATTTTATACACATGTGTTTTTCCCCACATAGTCCCATGAGTGAGTGGAAAACGCTTCCATGGGATACTCAGAGGGCTCTGTAGGCCAGTCAACAACCACCAATTTATGGGATCCCTTTAGAATTTGGGCCCCACCTTCTCCTCCCAACCAAATTAATAAAAGCCTTTGGAGTTTAACAAAGTGGTAGGGCACCTTGCTGATGATATTTCGAAGAGCAAAAAGCTTAGGTGTGGGGTCCCCTGCTTCAGATATAGGTGCATCATAGTCATAGCTGGTAGTGATTGGAAGGAAGCGTCCCTTCTCATCAGCACCTGAGGTTGAGCCAATGTAATTAATTCAACATAACTTCTGGATGATAAGACACTAAGCAAAGAGCTTCATGCAAAGAATTTTGCCATCAGAGGGGGCAGTGGTAGTCACATTCACCTTCTAGACATTTTAATTCATCTTAGATTCTAATTCTTTGTTTCCTCCCTGCTTCTTCCCCAGGGACCATTTAGACTCACCATTCCAGTATCCAAAGTTGGTGCCACCATGGAACATGTACCTGAAGTGGAAGTGGGGTGTAGATAAAAGCTTACTCATTGAATCTTAGCTTTTATCCCCAACTCCCAGTTACAGATTTGACCCCAGTATCTTCAATTACATGTTCACACTTGCTCCCAACTTGAGCATTTTCTCTAATCCTCTGATTACAGCTGGAACAGAGCGGGTAGAATGATTTTGGCCCCAGTAATCTAACCAGCCTGTGTAGTACTCAGAGTTCACCTAGAGTGAAGTGAAAGGAGCCATGAGTGAGAGAGAAATTGAGCTGGACACATTCCCATCCCTGATTCTTCTTTGATTTCCCTCCTCTCTGGCCCCTCACCAATGGTCCATGAGGTTCATACTTCCGAAGCAGGGTAAAGATTTTGGTCATGTTGTCAGCTGCACAAAGGAGGCAAAGGAAAAAGATAAATATCATAGAAGACATGTCTCTTCCTCCCACTCCACTCCCAACCCTTGCTTAGAAGACCTGGACCAAAATCTATAGTGGTATAGACTCCTTGGAGGGAGCCACATTTGAGTCCTTCAGGCCCATCTGTGGTAAAGAGCAAGATTTTATCTCCTAGTAGGGCACGGAAGAGCCCAGCCAGGTGCCTCATGTAGCTGAAGTCGCAGGCCTTGTAGCTACCATATTCATTCTCCACCTGCCAGGGAGAAGGAAAAATGGAGCCAAATTATGAGGTAGAGGTCAAGGACCCCTTGTACTGCCTTCTCCTTCCCCAGCCAATCTCCTCCTTGTACCTGAATGCTAATGATGTTGCCTCCATTGTGGTAGAGCCATGGATATATCTTGGGCAGCAAGACTTTGAACCATGAGTCTACTGCATCAAGGAAGTCTAAAGGAAAGAGCAGCGCTTTGCACATTAGGGACCACCACCACCAGCATAGCCCTCACCCCTAGCATCCTTACTAGTGACTTGAGTGCTGCCTATACTCTAGGCTGCAGTTTCTGTCCTCACCCCAAAGAAATCTTGTCAGAAGACAGTTTCAACCCTAAGCATTTGTATATTTGCATGTCAATGAAATTTGAAAACAGGAAATTTTTAAAGTAGTGTTTCTTAAACACATAGCACAGACCTATAATTATATAATCAACTCATACCTGATAGTGCTATGGAAGGAAAAGTCACAGAAATGAAGAAAGTCTGACCTGTCTTCTGATGTAACTGACAGTGCAGATGATCTTCAACTGAAAGATCATCACACAGGTTGAGTATTCCTAGTCTGAAATCTGAAATGTGCCAAAATCTGAAACTTTTGAGTACTGATATGATGCCATGCTGTTCCGTTTTCAGTTCCTCAATCATGCCATGTTCTTTCCCATCTCTGGGGGCCTTCGAATATACTGCTCTCTCTATCTGGAATGTTCCTGTCTCGCTCTTCACATTCCCAGTGTTTTCTCTTCCCTAGAAGTCAACTGAAATACTACCTTCTCAGAAAAGCCTTTTTCTTTCTTTCTTTTTTCTTTTTAACCCTCCTAAATTCAACCTTCAAGAAAAGCCTTTACTTAGGACTGCAAACTAATACAGTAGTATGGAGAATCTTCAAAGAACTCAAATTAGACCTCTCATTTGACCCATAATCCACTAAGCATCTACCCAGAATTAAAAAAATCATTTAATCATAAAGACATTCATACTAGAATGTTTATCACAGCTCAATTTACAATTGCAAAGATGTAGAAACAAGCTAAATGCCCATCAACTCAGGAATGAATTAACAAGTTGTGGTATATGTATACCATGGAGTACTATTCAGCTCTAAGAAAAGATGTAACTTTCATCTTTTGTATTAACCTGGATGGAGATGAAACACGTTCTTCTTAGTAAAGTATCACAAGAATGGAGAAACAAGTATCTAATATATTCAATTTTATTATGAAGCCAGTACATAATCTAACATATACCCACTCAGGAGAAAAACTTAATTCTATACAAGTCGGGGGAAGGGAGAACGAAGGGTGGGAAGAGGAGGGAGATTGGTGTGCTCCCATGTAAAGGGCACAAAGTGGGAGTATATGGCACACCTTTTGGGGATGGGGCACAATTACAAGAGGTACTGTATCCAACAAATTCAAATATTGTGACCTGGTTGTTTGAACTCTCATAACAACCTGAAATTAAAAAAAAAAAAAAAAGAAAAGCCTTTTGTGACCACCCTATCTTAAAGGGCCCTTTCTATTATTCACTTTCTCAACTCCTTGTTTATTTTCTTGCATATTTTTTATACTTTGCAACAATCTTATTTATAAGGTTTTTTGAGACATTGTCTCACTCTGTCACCCTGGGTAAAGTGCCATGGCATCATAGCTCACAGCAACCTCAAACTCCTGGGCTCAAGAGATCCTCTTGGCTCAGCCTTCTGAGCAGATGGGATTACAGGCACCCGCCCCAACATCCTGCTAGTTTTTCTATTTTTAATAGAGACTGGGTCTGGCTTTTGCTCAGTCTGGTCTCTAACTCCTGAGTTCAGAGAATTCATCTGTCTTGGCCTCCCAGAGTGTTAAGATTACAGGTGTGAGCCATGGCACCAGCCTAACAGTACATATTTGAATGATGACCTACAAGTTGGGAATGGTTTTGTCTGCTTTTGGCACCCAAATGGTTTTGTTGTTTGCTTTTTTCTATGTTAAATCTTTTGTCTCAACTCACCTGGATCTGAGGTTCTCAGATGAATGTTAGGATTTCGAAGCAACCAGGATGGGAGACCACCCTGAGACAAAACAAACAGACAGCAAGGAAGCACAGTAGGTATTGTTGTTTGGGGGTAGGTGAGGCTAAGAAGGGAGGAAGCTGTATATAGTGCTGGAAATAGCCCTTGAATGTGGGCAAATGAGAGTAGTCTAGGAACTGTAGATAGGTAGCTTTGGTTCTATCCCAGCTAACTCACCATCTCCCACTCTGCACAGATGTAAGGTCCTGGTCTCAGTATGACCAACAGGTTCGCTATAGCTGCCTCCTTCAGAAAGGCAATGAGGTCCCGGCTGCCATTAAAGTTAAAGACCCCAGGCTCTGGCTCATGGTAGTTCCAGGGCACATAACTGAGAAAGGAAGACGTTAACAGGGCCCAAGGTGGGGAGATGCTAGGAAAGCCTAAGGGCTCAGGCCTTGGGGATCTTCAGGAAACGTCTGGGAGGTCCTAGCCTGCCCTTTCCCACCCTTGGCCTAGGAATCCTGGAGCACTAACCCTTCTTCCAACCGAGTCAATCTTTCTTCCCCGTCCCCCTTCCTAAGCGGGTGTTAGGAAAAGCGAATCCCACCCTCCTCCACTACTCTTGCGAGCACTTCTTACAACTGAACAGCGTTGAGACCGCTCAATCGCATCTTCAAAAGCCGGTCTGCCCAGAGCACACGCGGCACCCGGAAGTAGTGCAGGCTGCCAGATACATAGCGGAACGGGGCCCCATCCAGTAGGAACCTGTCATGATCCGGATCCACTATGAACGACCGAGTGTCTGCCTACAAAGGGAAAGACTTGATGCTCAGCAGAAATCTGAGTGAGGTTCAGAGTCTACCAAGGGCAGAGATGATGGAACAAGACTTGCCGATTTTGTTGCTGAGTTCCTCTGATCTGCCGGATTTGATCCCACCCTACAGCTACCCGGCCAACCGGTTCAACCCTCTCATCTCACCTGGGGAAGCAGCAATTCCAGGAGCGGCAGCAGCAAGAAGGGAAGGCAGGGCGGCTTCTTGGGAGCCATGGCGCTTACGGGGCTCCTCTAGTCTGAGACCGTGGTCCGACCATCACGTGTTGGATTCCTGGGAGGGAACTTCAGCGAACAAGGGGGCGGAGACCACCTCAAGTTGCCAGGCGGTTAGCCTGAACTTTGTCTCCAGCCTGCAGCCACCCGCTACTCTACTAGTTTGTAAAATCCTCTACAATACATCTTGCTACTCAGAGTGCAGTTCAGGAACCAGCTTCATCAGCGTCACCTGGGAGCTTGTTAGAAATGCAGAATCTCAGATCCTACCTCAGACCTATAGAATCAGAATTTGTATTTTAACAAGATTCCCAGGTGATCTTAAGCACATCCATAACTGACAAGCACTGCTTTACTAGACAGTGCTCCCTGAGGGTGGGGACTGCCTTGTTCACCCTGAGCACAGGGCCTGGCACATAGCTGGCTAAATCTAGATAAATGGTAGAACTAAGGGGCAAAACCAAGTTCAGAACCAAGAGAAACAGTGGGGAAATCATGGCGTTTAGGAGTGTGGAAAGAGGAATTAGATTAAAAGCTGGACCTTTTTCCGGGAGAACCCTCTTTCCGCAAAAGAGCCCATCCTGGCCATTCCATCTTCTTTGGAAGTGCACCCTTTTCCAACTTATCCCTCCTTGCCTAGGCAAGAGATGTCAAAGACAACTGCTTGGTGCCAAGGCTTGGAAATTTGTGAATTTCCATACATTCTGCCTTTCACTGTCCCAAGCCTGGGTATGAGGGTCAGGGTAATAATTATTATTATTACAGTTTGTTGACACTTAGGGCTATTGTGTTAGATACTGTGCTAAGGACTTTACATCTCACTTAATCTTCAAATAACTCCATGAAGTAGACAATTATTCCCATTTTACAGATGAGGAAACTGAAGGACAGAAACATTAAGTAACCTGTCCAAGGTCACACAACTACTTACACAGAGCTGGGATTTGAACTAGTCAGTCTGGCTTCACCGTTAGTGGATTTTAACCTTAGATTCTCTTATACATACTTTACAGCTATGAAAAGTGAGGCTGAGAGAGATTAAGTAACTTGCCTGAGATCACACAGCTAGAAGGCAAGGCTATTAAGACCTGATTTAGAAACTAGCAATCGAGTTCAAGACCCTGAACTCTTTTTTCTTTTTTTTTGAGACAGAGCCTCAAGCCATCCCCCTGGGTAGAGTGCTGTGGCATCACAGCTCACAGCAACCTCCAACTCCTGGGCTAAAGCTAGTCTCCTGCCTTCACCTCCCAAGTATCTGGGACCACAGGTGCCCACCACAACGCCCGGCTATTTTTTGGTTGCAGCCATCATTGTTGTTTGGCGGGCCTGGGCTGGATTCGAACCCGCCGCCTTAGGTGTATGTGGCTGGCGCCTTGGCCACTTGAGCCACAGGCGCCGAGCCAAGACCCTGAATTCTTAATCACTGAGACTAGGGGTAGTGGGATACAGGTCAGAGCCTCAAACATTGTTCAGGATAAGAGCTCTAGGAGTCCAGGCCGTAAGCACCCGCCCCTTCCTGGAACCCCCTGGGGTGGACAGTAGTCAGCCGCTTTCTGGCCCCAGCGCGCCAGAGGAATGAGGCCTCCTACCTCTGACATTGGAAGATGGAAGTCCTGGGGGCCTCGAGCCGAGCCCGGCTTTGCTCCCCTTTGGCGCAGGTGCCTGCGTCTTGACCCCTAATGAAGGCCAAGTAGGGAACCCTTACCCGGGTGGTGGGACCCGTCCACCCCCACATCGTCCGGACGCCCAGCGGTTGCTAAGATACCGCAGGCCGTTACGCCGGCGCGGACTGATGATGTACCCATTACTTCCGGTCCCTAGCGCTTCGCTCCTTCCCGAGCCAGGTCAGTGGGGAGTCCTGGCTGGGAGACCTCGGGCTCTGCGCGCCGAGGCCAGGGGTAGCCTCTGCAAGGGGTGACGGCACCTCTTCTGTAGCTGTGCCCTCTCTTTGGGCCCTCTGGTCTTAGGAGCGGGGACTGCCTAAAGGTGAGCGGGGATTGGAGGAACCGGCCTGGTAGTCATTGCGTGTCCAGAGCTTTCAGGCACCTGACCCCAGCCTTGTTGGAACTGGCTTCGCCAATGCCAGTTTTCTCTAGATGAGAATATAGGTTCTGAGACCTAGGCCTGTGCTCCCCACCTTGGTACTTCAGGGGTCATGTGGATTGTGCCAGATTTGCGACCTTGCCATTATTTTCCTTCCAGCATGATCCGCTGGGCCTCCAACTTATCGCCTGGAAGAAACCACTCACCCTGGATGAACCCTTAGGCCCCTTCAGACCACCCTTGAGGAGGATGACTGAGACATTATGGGACACGCGCTGTGTGTCTGCTCTCGGGGAACTGTCATCATTGACAATAAGCGCTACCTCTTCATCCAGAAACTAGGGGAAGGGTGAGTGTTGGGGAATCCTTTAACCAGTTCCTAGGGTTATGGTTATTGAAGGACAGATGTCTGCACATTTTTGGGGTACAGGGTTTTATCCCTATTCTCTAACTCACCTGACAGCTGTGTGATAGCCAAGAAGGTGGATTCTGGAGCCAGGTCTCCTAAATCCACCTTGTGTGACCTTGATAAGTAATTGTTTTTTCATCTGCCTAATACTGATGATTATCATGTCTTAGTAATGGAGTTGTGAGGATTAAATGAGATAATGTATGTAAAATGTCTCACCTAGTGCCTGGTTCATAAGCATTTGATAAACATTGGCTCTTACTCATTTTGTATTTGTTGAACATCTGTCACATGCAGAGCACTATAATATGACCATAGGACGGCAAAGATTTCTATATCCCTGCTGTTGAGATGCTCAAAGTATAATAATATTCTGACTTCTCCTGGAGCTACATCTTGGGAGGGTTTCTACTGAAGGGGAGCAGCACCTCCCTCCCAGGGAATTCCTCTGGGTCCATGCTGTATGAGAGATGACATGGTCCTTCACTGACCCCTTTGGCCCACAGTGGGTTCAGCTATGTGGACCTAGTGGAGGGGTTACATGATGGACACTTCTACGCCCTGAAGCGAATCCTGTGTCATGAGCAGCAGGACCGGGAGGAGGCCCAGCGAGAAGCAGACATGCATCGCCTCTTCCATCACCCCAACATCCTTCGCCTTGTGGCTTACTGTCTGAGGGAGCGGGGTACTAAGCATGAGGCCTGGCTGCTGCTGCCTTTCTTCAAGGTCAGAAAGACTGCCGGTTATGGAGGAATTTGTAATAGAGCCACCTACCAAGGGCTATGTGAGCAGTCAAGCCTGTTAGGAAGCAGAGGCCATGTCCTGGGTTTGGCCACTTCAGATTTGGGTTTGAGGTGTGTGTGGTGAAAGGTTGGTAGGCTTCGATGTAGGGAAGGGATTGGGTTCAGGGAGCAGAGGCTCCAAAAACATCTCCAACTGTGAGGAAACTTTTATTGCAGAGAGGTACGCTATGGAATGAGATAGAAAGACTGAAGGACAAAGGCAACTTCCTGACTGAGGACCAAATTCTTCAACTGCTGCTGGGTATCTGCAGGGGCCTTGAGGCCATTCATGCCAAGGGTTATGCCCACAGGTCAGTAAGAAGGCCCTGTGTTTTTGCTGCAGTGGAAAGGAAAAGCCTCACCAAGAAAAATTGGAGGTCTCTGTTCTCGTAAGCAACAGCCTGGGCTTGGCGCCTGTAGCTCAAGCAGCTAAGGCGCCAGCCACATACATCAGAGCTGGGGGGTTCAAATCCATCCTGGACCTACCAAATAACAATGACAACTGCAACCAAAAAATAGCCGGGCACTGTGGCGGGTGCCTGTAGTCCTAGCTACTTGGGAGGCTGAAGCAAGAGAATTGCTTAAGCCTAGGACTTGGAGGTTGCTGTGAGCTGTGATGCTATGGCACTCTGCCCAGGGCGACAGCTTGAGTCTCTGTCTCAAAAAAAAAAAAAAAGCCTGCGTGATTATTTTGCTTCCTGGGGTTTTAGCCTCCCTGTACCCGGATGCTCATGGGTCATTTCCACTTCCCTACAGGGACCTGAAGCCCACCAATATCTTGCTTGGAGATGAGGGGCAGCCAATTTTAATGGACTTGGGTTCCATGAATCAAGCATGCATCCATGTGGAGGGCTCTCGCCAGGCCCTGACCCTGCAGGTAAGAGAATCCCTGGGTTTCTTTGCCCACCTGTTTTCCACCCCAAACCCCTTCTGGTGCATGCCCCAACCTGGTCACATGACTGTGGCTTGTGCTCTACTTTTGAGCTGTGGGGCCACTGTTCCAGGACTGGGCGGCCCAGCGATGCACCATCTCCTACCGAGCCCCAGAGCTCTTCTCTGTGCAGAGTCATTGTGTCATCGATGAGCGAACTGATGTCTGGGTGAGGAGTATGTGGGTGGAAATCTGGGTGGGAAGAGGTATGTGGCTCTGTACCTACTGTGAAGTAGAGAAGTAGGTCTTTGGTTTCTGTTGCATGGGACCCCAGGAACCACAATATGTCTCCATTTTCCTTGACTTCCTTCCTGGGAACTGTCACTGATACCATACTCTGTTGCACAGGAAGTGGTGTAATCCCTTCCCCTGAACAGGGTGGGTACAGCTCAGTGTCAGTGCTGAAGGCCTTGGCTAAAGCAAGGGCTGCAGAGGCCTTCAGCTTACTGGAAGTTTCTCTGGGCCCTGATGGTGGCATGTGGCTGAGGTTGGCATATTCTTTTTAGTTTATGTAGTCTCCTTTCACCACAGAAGGGGAACAATGTCACCTCCATTGGTTCCTTTCCAGGGATTAAACAAGTTATACTTAGTCCCTAGGCTGTGTGCTGTATGCCATGATGTTTGGAGAAGGCCCTTATGACATGGTATTCCAGAAGGGTGACAGTGTGGCCCTTGCTGTGCAGAACCAACTCAGCATCCCGGAAAGCCCCAGGTGAGCAATATGAAGGGCACCAAACATTTCAGACTCCTCTGGATTACCTGAGCTGGCACCTCAGCAAGAGGGATAGTGTCTTCCAGTCACCTTTCCCACCTCCCTTCACAGGCATTCTTCAGCAGTGCGGCAGCTGCTGGCCTCAATGATGACTGTGGACCCCCAGCAGCGCCCTCACATTCCTCTCCTCATCACTCAATTGGAGGCATTGCAGCCCTCAGCTTCTGGCCAGCACACTACCCAAATCTGAACAAACCAGAAGCCACGTTGACAAAGTGCCCTCTCATGCCTTGGAAAGAGGCACCCATCCTCATTGGAAGCTCCATCCATTCTGTCCAGGACTGCTCTCTGATAGGACCAGGGGGTGGGGAAATCTTTGCTCTCTGACCTCCCCAAAGTGACAGCTGAGTAAAGAGCCTGACTAAATAGTGGTGGGGTAGGGGTTGGGAAAAGAGAAACTGACAGAATATGGTCCATGGCTCAGGACTGCTGAGCTCACATCATGTTCTGCCTCCAAATTCAGGAGCAGGAGAATGTATAAACAAAAGAATAAAGCAAAACCAGTTTGGTGTGGATCTTAGCCTCAATGTTTCTAGAGAGAAGAGGTATAAGGGGTCCGAAGTCTGGTTACCATTTCCAAAGGAACAGCCTGGGATATAGTTGGCAGGGGTGTAACTTCATCATTACACGTGAAGCGGCTGATTCCTTCCATAGATCTAGTTAGTTGGCAGTGGGCACGTCTTCGAGCTTGTTCTAGTCAAAAACTTAAAGCTGCTCTGCCATGAGTTGGCTTCTAACTGTGACAAGGGCTAGAATCAGGGCCCCCTAAAAGCCTGAACTAGTTTTTTCATTCCTTCACTCCCAGGGGTGGGTAGCTTAGTCAAAGCAACCCAACCAGTTTGCTAGGCAAGGGCTTCTGGGTGGAGACACTTGAAGTTTTAGGATAGCTACATAACAGGTCTCCCATCCTCAGCCTGGGGGGGGAAGGGGAGTGGAGGTGGCAGTCATCTTGGCCCCTTTCTCTCTGAGGTGCTAGCTTGTAGATGGTTAATGATTAATGAGGCTGTGTGGTGTAGCAGTATCCAGCTGCCACTTCCTGCCTGCTCTGCTGAGTAAACAGGCCCTGCAATAGCTGGGCTTGAAACCTGTTCCCAAAGGAAGGGCACTGTGTCCCTGAATCACAGGGACGGTAGGCAAGGGTAAGGTTGGCATCTCCTATGTCTCCTACTCTTGAGATTGAGGCTTCCTTCCCTCAGCCATACCTGCCCAACATGCTGACGTCAGAATGTGTCCTGGGGTGCCTATTAGCAAAGTTGAAATTTTCCCCAGGGCCATAGCAGGAGGCTCCTACCAGCTAACACAGAGGCAGAGGCCAGAAAGAAAGCACAAACAGGGAGATGACCTGACTTTTAATGGCACAGCCCCAGCCCCAGCAAAGCAGCAAGACAGGAAGCTATGCAAAGCTGCTGGGAGTTACAGTGGCACAAACAACCTAGGAGATCGCCCTTGTTCCTTCCCATCCCCCAAGCTTATGACGTGGCTTCACGCCCAGGAACTCTGAGCCAGCCCAGCCCCATTTCCAAACCCTCATAATGCACAAAGGATCTTGGGCCAAGCTTTGCTTCCAGAGCTGGTAAATGCAGAGGCAATAGGAAGAACAGGGTAGTAGTCCAATTCTTAAATATAGAAGCTACTGGACTTAAACTTCTACTTGGAAAAGATGTGAAGGGACTCATGTTCTTCAATAGTTGGAGGTTGGACAGACAGGTCCAGGATTTGGTCCTCATTTCCTCCCTATCCTGGGAGTCCCTGTGAGCTTACATCAAGGTCCTGGAGCCGTGCTTCGTGGGCCTGGCAAGGGCCCCTTGGCAGGTCTTACTGTTAGCCATGGAAGGGAAAAGGATCATGAGCAGCAAACAGCGAGGGCAGCAGCAAAAAGAAGGCAGCAGAAGCTCAAGCACTCACAGAAAGGACAAGAAATCGTGCAAGGATACTGTTTATTTCGAAAGGCTTTTGCAATGAACATAGTGGAGAGTCTCCAGGAAGCTGTTTTATTCTTCTCCCTCATCCTCATCCTCATAGGAATCGATGCCCACTTCCTCATAATCCTTCTCCAGGGCAGCCATATCCTCCCGGGCCTCAGAGAACTCCCCTTCTTCCATGCCCTCACCCACATACCAGTGCACAAAAGCCCTCTTGGCATACATCAGGTCGAACTTGTGGTCCAGGCGGGCCCAGGCCTCGGCGATGGCGGTTGTATTGCTCAGCATGCACACGGCACGCTGCACCTTGGCCAGGTCACCCCCAGGCACCACAGTGGGAGGCTGGTAGTTGATACCAACCTTGAAGCCTGTGGGGCACCAGTCCACAAACTGAATGCTGCGCTTGGTCTTGATGGCGGCAATGGCAGCATTGACATCCTTGGGCACCACATCTCCACGGTACAGCAGGCAACAGGCCATGTACTTGCCGTGCCGAGGGTCACACTTCACCATCTGGTTGGCAGGCTCGAAGCAGGCATTGGTGATCTCTGCCACAGACAGCTGCTCATGGTACGCCTTCTCTGCAGAGATGACAGGTGCGTAGGTGGCCAAGGGGAAGTGGATACGGGGGTAGGGCACCAAGTTGGTCTGGAACTCTGTCAGGTCCACGTTGAGGGCCCCGTCAAAGCGCAGGGATGCTGTGATGGAGGAAACAATCTGGCTGATGAGGCGGTTGAGGTTTGTATAGGTAGGGCGCTCGATATCCAGGTTGCGGCGGCAGATGTCATAAATAGCTTCATTGTCCACCATGAAGGCACAGTCTGAGTGCTCCAGGGTGGTGTGGGTGGTAAGGATGGAGTTGTAGGGCTCAACCACGGCTGTAGAAACCTGGGGGGCTGGGTAGATGGAAAATTCTAACTTGGATTTCTTGCCGTAGTCGACAGAGAGCCTCTCCATGAGGAGTGAGGTAAAGCCAGAGCCAGTGCCCCCTCCAAAGCTGTGAAACACCAGGAATCCCTGCAGTCCTGTGCACTGGTCAGACTGAAAGGCAAGAAAGGGAAGGAGCAATTTAGGGAGAGGCCTGAGGGACTCTTATCATCTGGCTTCATAAAGCCTAAAATATCTCAGAAGTCAGGTCAGGGCAAAGACTAATTAGTATGCCATGGCAGCAACACACTGAAACATGTACCGTTAGAGCTGACCCCCTGAAATGGATCTGAAAAAAAATGTTCGTGATCATAAGCATAGTCTCAAATGCTCCCTCCCTTCCAAGACAAATTCTTACCAGCTTGCGGATCCGGTCCAGTACTGGGTCAATGATCTCTTTGCCAATGGTATAGTGACCACGGGCATAGTTGTTAGCAGCATCCTCTTTCCCAGTGATGAGCTGCTCTGGGTGGAAAAGCTGTCGGTATGAGCCATTTCGGATCTCATCTAGAAGGGCATAAACCACACTGTTAGGGCAAAAACCACAAGGCTGTGCTCAGAAGGGACCTTACTCCCCCAGGGTGGTAGCTGTGGCCAGATATATGGAGAGCTCATCCTTCTGCCAGCCTGAGATAGCAGAGTGTGAGAGAAAGCCAGACCTGTTGCCTAGGCCAGCCTGAACTCAGCTTGCTTTCTTCAGGTTATGAGTTTTCAGGGCGGGGAAAGCCAGGTCTAAACACCCTCTCTCTGGCTCAGTGCCTGTAGCTCAGTGGCTAGGGTGCCAGCCACATACATCAGAGCTGGCAGGTTCAAACCCAGCCCAGGCCTACCAAATAACAATGGCAACTACAACCCCCTCTCCCAAAAACAGCCAGGCGTTGTGACAGGCCTCTGTAGTCCCAGCTACTTGGGAGGCTGAGGCAAGAGATTGCTTAAGCCCTAGAGTTTGAGGTTGCTGTGAGTTGTGACACCACAGCACTCTACCAAGGGCAAGGTAGTAAGTTTCTATCTCAAAATAAATAAATAGGGTGGCGCCTGTGGCTCAAAAGAGTAGGGCGCCGGTCCCATATGCCGGAGGTGGTGGGTTCAAACCCAGCCCCAGCCAATAAATAAATAAATAAATAAATAAAATAAATACCCTCTCTCCAGAGAAAAGCTTTGAGTCACTCTCTAGCCCCCTCATATTTGCCCCCTCTTCTCACCAATTACAGTAGGTTCCAAATCCACAAAAACTGCTCGGGGCACATGTTTTCCAGCACCAGTTTCACAGAAGAAGGTGGTAAAGGAGTCATCCCCTCCACCAATGGTTTTGTCACTGGGCATCTGCCCATCAGGCTGAATCCCATGTTCCAGACAGTAGAGCTCCCAGCAGGCATTGCCCATCTGGACACCTGCCTGCCCCACATGGACTGAGATGCATTCACGCTGAGGGATAAAGAAAGGAGACATGGCGTAAGCCTCACATCCACAAGTCCTCACCTCACAAGCCTCTCTTCCACCCTATCACCTACCAGCTGGTATGACTCAGCTGGCAAGAGTGGAGACTGGGGATGGGCAGAGATGAGAAGAGAGGCTCTCAGCCTGCCCAGGCTCCTCTGCACAGGACTCCCCAGCTGAAGGCACCCAGGAGGGCAACCAATCCCTTAGCCTATTTCTCAGGAAATTTGTCAAGTGAGTGCTGTGGCTTCACATGACTCTGCTACATTCATAGAAAGCTCACGGAGGACAGAGAGGGCAAGTGCATAAGAGACAGACTGAAGCATTTAATGACTTAATGACTCTTAAGGATAAGAAACTTTTCAGCTGCTCCTGATCTCTACTGTCCATAAACCCAGCTTCTCAAGAGACTGAGAAAAGAAAGGTTTCCCACAGCTGTGAGTTTACAAGTAGAGTTTAAAGGCCCCGACTTGATTAATTCTTTGCTTTGAGGAGGAACGGCTAGAATTTCACACAACCCTTTCCCCCTTTCATCCTGTGGGTTGCAAGGTGTCTCAGCCTTCCAGTCTGGTATCAACTGACCACACTGACCATGAGGATGCCCTCTTCCCTCACCTTTAAATCCCATCTGGCCCGGAGGATCAATCCCATCTGGCTCCTCTCCCCACTTCCACCCCCACACCCTGGGTGTCTTCACCACCTTCATCCACTGAGCACGGAAATAGCAGCGGTAATGTGGTAGGCGCAGACGGCAGAGGCGGGCAATAAGAGTGGTGGGTACTAGGGCACTAGCCGCCTTAGGCTCAGTTCCTGCCAGTCTGAAATTAACCCTTGAAGCACCAGAGCCCGCAGGGCCCGCGCGCGCCTCCCTTCCCACACCGACATGGCCGGGTGACGGTTTCCAAATACTCAGAAAAGGAAGTGGAACCTGCGGCAAGGCCCCAGAGGTAACCCGCCTTGCCCTGGGCAGGGTGAGAGCCATCCTGCACCCCAGCCCTTCATCCGGTCTCCTGCTGAAGTCTTTCCAGTTACATCCCAGCCCACAGCGGGGATTGGGTTTCGGCCTCCGCTCCTGAGCTATAAATACCACCATTACCACCACCACCCCCCCACCAAACGCACCTCTTTCCCCTCCCCCAGCCTGGCCCTGGCCCGCGCTGCAGCTCAGCGCCAGCTGTCTCTGCCCGTCCGCGCACTCGCCCTCTAGCTGGAGAGGGGCCGGCTGGCCT